AGTCAAAACTATTTAATTCTTCCTTCTCTCAAGCCACTTTTAGTAACTATTTAATTCTTCCTTCTCTCAAGCCACTTTTAGTCACTATTTAATTCCTCCTTCTCTCAAGCTGAACTATCTAATTATCCCTTCACTTCAGCCACTTTCAGTCAACTATTTAATTCTTCCTTCTCTTAAGCCATTTTTAGTCAACTATTTAATTCCTCCTTCTTTTAGGCCACTTTTCGTAGCTATCTAATTATCCCTTCTCTTCAGCCACACTTTCAGTCAAAACTATTTAATTCTTCCTTCTCTTAAGCCACTTTTAGTCACTATTTAATTCCTCCTTCTCTCAAGCTGAACTATCTAATTATCCCTTCTCTTCAGCCACTTTCAGTCAACTATTTAATTCTTCAATCTCTTAAGACACTTTTAGTCACTATTTGATTCCTCCTTTTCTCAAGCCACTTTTAGTCACTATCTTATTCCTCCTTCTCCCAAGTCAACTATCTAATTCTTTCTTCTCTTAGCCTTTTAATAGTCAACTAGTTTTATTAATTCCTCCTTCGTTTTCGGGGTGTTCTCGCAGGCTTGTTGCCAGAACCATGAGCAAGCCAGGAGAGGAGGCGGTATTCCATACAAGCGACACCACGTGAGTCATCTGCTAATTGTTCCATACCGTTGAGTGTTTGAGTTGTTCTATTGTACTATGAGAGGGAAGTGATGATACTGAGGCCAGGTAGATATACACATAGATGGACGAGGAAAGACATGTGCACATTGAATCAAGGCTCGTATCTCTCTTGAATATATATATATATGTGTGTGTGTGTGTGTGTATCATATATATATATATATATATATAACTGCGTGTGTGCGTGTACGTGTATATGTATATATATTGTGTTTGTGTATGTGTATATATGTCTGTGTGTGTGTTTTATTATGTGTGTATCAATGACGCCGCTATATTCTTATTGAACAAAATGTGCTGTACGTTTCCATACATACTGTTCACATATTTACAATCTGATTTTGGTAGTCACGTGTGCGTATGTGTGGTAGGAAAATGGATGGGCATACAATACAATAGAGTGGTCTGGATAGCATAGCTCCAGGAAGATGCTCCGTGTGTGAAGGGAGTTAATGGCACGCACAAATATACCTATCAGAAATCACATGTACATCCGCAACAAAGTGACCTGTACTCACACTCGCTCTCTTTGCGAATACATTGTGGCCCGTTTGAGCGTACTATCCCGATTCAACAACGCGTCATCAGTTGTAGTTGCCCTGTGAGGCTGCCTGAGTGTGTCTTGTAGCTGTATCTCTACCATGCTTGCTGGTGACTGGCATGCATGTTCTGTTGTTCATCTATTTATCATACCTGCGTGTTCTGATGTTCATCTGTTTGTCTTATCTGCATATTTGTTGCATGTTATGATGTTCATCTGTTTGTCTTATCTGCATATTTGTTGCATGTTCTCATGTTCATCTGTTTGTCTCATCTGTATATTTGATGCATGTTCTCATGTTCATCTGTTTGTCTTATCTGCATATTTGTTGCATGTTCTCATGTTCATCTGTTTGTCTCATCTGTATATTTGATGCATGTTCTCATGTTCATCTGTTTGTCTCATCTGCATATTTGATGCATGTTATGATGTTCATCTGTTTGTCTTATCTGCATATTTGATGCATGTTCTCATGTTCATCTGTTTGTCTCATCTGTATATTTGATGTATGTTCTCATGTTCATCTGTTTGTCTTATCTGCATATTTGATGCATGTTCTCTTGTTCATCTGATTGTCTCATCTGCATATTTGATGCATGTTCTCATGTTCATCTGTTTGTCTTATCTGCATATTTGATGCATGTTCTCATGTTCATCTGTTTGTCTTATCTGCATATTTGTTGCATGTTATGATGTTCATCTGTTTGTCTTATCTGTATTTTTGATGCATGTTCTCATGTTCATCTGTTTGTCTCATCTGCATATTTGATGCATGTTCTCATGTTCATCTGTTTGTCTCATCTGCATATTTGATGCATGTTCTCATGTTCATCTGTTTGTCTTATCTGCATATTTGATGCATGTTCTCATGTTCATCTGTTTGTCTTATCTGCATATTTGATACATGTTCTCTTGTTCATCTGTTTGTCTTATCTGCATATTTGCCCTGGGGATGCCATGGGGCTTGTCTCAGGCCTACGCGACATGGCAGTGTCATGCTGACATCCACACCTCAGGCACAGGCGAGACGGACCATCTTTACTGCAGGTGTGTGTGTCTGTGTTGTGTGTGTATGTGGATGTTTGTGTGTCTGTGTTGTGTGGATGTTTGTGTGTCTGTGTTGTGTTTGTGTGTGTATGTGGATGTTTGTGTGTCTGTGTTGTGTTAGTGTGGGGGTCTGTCCTATGTGTGTATGTCTGTGTTGAGTGTCTGTGTTGTATGTGTGTGTCTCCGCGTCTATGTCTATGTCTGTGTGTGCAATACCTTTGCTCACAACGACTCGTTCAAGTACAGACTATCCGTTGAAGTTGTTCTTTCATCTCATGCATATCGCGATACAGAACACTAACCTGTTGTGCGGGGTCCATCCGCGTAGTCGTATCATGAACATTCCAGGTTCAAACTGTACAGATAGCAAAGGCTACTCGAATGTACTCAACCAATTCCGGTCACATTCTCCATATTTGATGTCCCCTGTCTATATAAACAGTACCTACTTATCCCATGTTGTATCTAAACAGTACACTTCATCATATGATCGTCTGCATCTATCCCTAACCATTTGCGCTTCCCAATGGGCTGCACCGGTACGTCTTGGTTCTGGTTATCACACAAGTCTCTTGGCCGGGCAAGTAGTCCCATACACCACCCCCTCGCACTCACACACTCATCACAGTGTCATGTTGTGGGTAGCTCTGTGTTTCTTCTGACTGACCGATTGCCCACATTCGGTACTGTCTGCAGCTCAGTTAGTGTACGTTTCTCGTCAGCTCATCATACCCAGTACTTATACAACCAAGTACGGCTGACTGATCCCATCCCAGTGCAACGTATTACACACACCTGTATCTGTCGTTGCTTACTAATACTCCATGTCGTTTGACGCGTTGTAGGTCGCCCGCCCTGGTACGATGCGACGGGTGAGACATCCCATCCCTTTGTTATTGGTATCACCGGAGGGTCGGCGTCTGGCAAGACTACGGTGGCTCAGTAAGTGTGGGCACAGCTGAATGTACACGTGCTGGTGTGGGGGGGTAGTAGGTAGTAGACCCTTTGTACTGCCCCTGCTTCTTCTGGTTGGTGTGTGTGTGTGATGTTGTGTGGGGGGGCAGTAGGTAGTAGACCCTTTGTACTGCCCCTGTTTCCTCTGGTTGGTGTGTGTGTGCATGGTGTATGGTGTGTGGTGTGGTGTGGGCGTATAGTTGGTTATAGAGATTGTACTGCCCCTGTTTCTTCTGGTTGGTTTGTAGTGTGTTTTAGGGTTTAGGTTCTACAACAATTAATTGATACGTATTTATATACATGTGTGTAGATCTATTATAGAGGAACTGGGGGTGCGATGGGTGGTCTTGATGTCCTTAGACAGTTTCTATAAGGCGTTGACCGAGGAAGAGAAGGAGCAAGCGGGCCGCAACGAATACAATTTCGATCATCCAAGTAAGCATTGATGTAGTTTGTGGGGGGGAGGGTTGTGTGTCAGGTTGTGTATAGGCACTCGGTTGTTATACTACAACCATGGAACACACCAATTCAAACACCACCACAGCCCACCTTGATTGTGTGCTCACACGCACACACGCCTTGTGGCTCAGCTGTGACTGCGTTGCTGTCAACCCTATCCGTAGCAGCGGAGTATGTGGCGGTATGTGGCGAATGGTGAGTGGGCTCTAATATACTTCATTAAAACCTATTCGTAGCAGCTGAGTGTGTGATGAATGGTGAGTGGGTTCTAATATTCTGTATGCTGTGCTTAACCGCACACTCCCCTTTAGACATTCACATCCTGTTTTGTACAGTCTGTCATTGGAATTAGACCTTTGACTTTCGTCATATTATTTGAATTGAACTTTTGGCTTTCAGCATACTATATTTTGGATTGAACCTTTGACTTTCAGCGTGCTACTATTTGGATTGAACCTTTGACTTTCAGCGTGTTATTATTTGGATGAACCTTTGGCTTTCAGCGTGTAGTTAAGCCCACGAGAGCAGGCGTGAACTGTTATCTGTGGGAGCGAATGTGCACTGTGTTTGTCCTGTTTGTGCCAGTGTTTTAGTGCTGTGTTGTACTCCTTAGTTGCCGTGGTCTATAATTCACCTGCAACCCAATCTCGACAGTGGTCGTGGATGCCGATAGTGCACCAAGTCAATAGCACCACGTATGCCAATATAGGAACCACCTGAACGAACGCGTTCGATCACCTTAACGCACAGATGCATTCGACTACGACTGTGCGGTTGAAACGTTAAAGAAGCTGAGGGAAGGCAAGGGCGTGGAGCTGCCAGTCTATGACTTTTCGACACACTCGCGGTATGTATGTCTATGCGAAGGGGCCTGCACGTATTATAAGATAGAGGGTCCATGCGTTGTTGTAGGGTTTAGGGTTTAGGCCCTTGCCTGCAAACATAGGGGGTGTGTACAATCAATCACCCGCGATGTAGCTGCGGCTTCTGTTCGCCTCTTCTGAGTGCTGCCGAATCTGTCAAGTGCATAGCAATGGGTCTGCCGCCACTACAGCACCCTCGCATCGCATCACCCACACACCCCGCGTAAACAGAACCCCGCACATTGCCTGTGTAGCAGCAAGGCCCACATTCTTACACACCCACCACGTGCACTACCCTTCCCGCCCCCACGCACGCGAGACACCTCACAGACTGAAGGAGACCCAGAAGATGTATGGGGCGAATGTCATTCTGTTCGAAGGCATCATGGCGTTTCACAACCCCGAGCTACGCGCGCTTATGGACATGAAGATCTTTGTGGACACGGATTCGGATATTCGCCTGGCCCGAAGATGTAAGTCCTGGGTGCTTTGTCCTTAATGTATTGTCCAGGGTGTATCGTCCTGGGTGCATTTAGAAGTCGAAGGACTGGTTTTCGTGTGCTTCTGTGTGTATTTGAGTGTTGCTCGTTGAAAGCTCTAGTAATGTATGTGAGGTCGTTTGATTTGTCGACACGACGCAGTTAGGCCTAAGATGTGTTTGTGTTTTATGTAATTAATAATACTGACGTAAGATGTGTTTGTGTTCTATGTAATTATATAGCACTGACCTAAGATGTGTTTGTGCTGTAGGTACGTATATATCACTTGACGCTCACATTGTACGGAATTAACGTATTGTTTTGCACTACTCAACGTATTAAACAATCCTATTGACATGGTATATCACTTGACACTCACATTGTACGGAATTATGGCGCACCCGTATGCTCTAGTATCAGTGCTTTGTCCACTTATTGTTTCGGATTGCTTTCCCTATACGCTCCAGTGAGGCGAGACATCGCTGAACGAGGCCGTGACCTGGTGGGAGTGTTAGAGGTATGTTTCCCAATTAGCAGCACACATATGGCCTTAGGGTCAGTGTGTATATGTACTTCTCAGTCAATGTGTACATGTACTTCTCAGTCAATGTGTACATGTACTTCTCAGTCAATACGATATTTTTCCGTGGTCCCTATGGCTGATTCCAAACTCTGTCGATTGCGCAAATTGTACTTTGCGGTACTTTGCGGTCACCCCACCGCACTTCTCCATGTGCGTTACGCCGTCCTTTGATGAGTCTACCTACGCTATTTCACCCACTCCCATACCAGCAATATTCCAAGTTCGTCAAACCGTCTTTTGACGAGTTCATATACCCTACCATGAAGTACGCCGATGTGGTTGTGCCCAGAGGCGCAGATAATTTAGGTGAGTAGCCCTCGGCCGATTCATAGATATGGTTTAGGGTTTAATATTTTGTTGTTGGGTTTAGTAATATGTTTTAGGGTTAAGTAACATGTTTTAGGGTTTAGTAATCTGTATTAGGATTTAGTAATATGTTTTAGGGTTAAGTAATATGTTTTAGGGTTTAGTTTTATGATGTTGGGTTTAGTAATCTGTATTAGGATTTAGTAATATGTTTTAGGGTTTAGTAGTATGTTTTAGGGTTTAGTACCTTGTTGTTGGGTTTAGTAACCTGTTTTAGTGTTTAGTATTATGTTTTAGGGTTTAGTATTGGAGTATCGTCTATGTCAGTCCGTGTTCACTGCAAGTGCGTTGGTGTGGGATGAACCTGACTTGCACACTGTGGGGTTGCGTAGATATCTTTTCTGTTTGGATGGTATGTTTCTCTTTGGTTTTTTGAGGTTACATATCTCTTTGGTTTTTTGATGGCACAAATCTCATTGCTTTTCTGATAGTATATATGTCTTTGGTTTTTTGATGGTATATATCTCTTTTGGTTATTTTATGGTATATGTCTCTATGGGTTTTTTTATGGTATATATCTCTTTGGTTTATTCGGTATATATCTCTTTGGTTTTTCTTATGGTATATATCTCTTTGGTTTTTTGATGGTATATATATTTTTTTGTTCTTTCATGGTACATATGTCTTTGGGGTTTTTTTATAGTATATGTCTCTTTGGTTTTCAATGGTATATATCTTTTGGGCTTTTTTCTCAGACCTTTTCGGGCCGCTGGCAGATCTTTGCCATTTCAGCAGTCGCACTTACCGCTTATGCACGTCCTCCGCCTCATACTCATCCTTGTCCTCACACTATCAGTGGCACTGGATTTGATTGTCAAACATGTCAAACGGCAGCTGACCTCCAGAGGACATAACTTTAGAGACCAATTAATAGGCGCCCATGCGGGCGAGAAAATGCCCGATTCACTGCATGTACTACCCAGTACCAGGCAAATCAAGGTGTGTGCGTGTGTGTATGTGTGTGTGCGTGTGCGTGTGCGTGTGTGTGCGTGTGCGTGTGCGTGTGCGTGTGCGTGTGTGTGCGTGTGCGTGTGAGTGTATAAGGGGGGGGGGGGGAGAGAGATGCATAGCCACCCCATCTCCTACTATTACTGAGCGTAGTGCCTTGTGCGATTGCCTACCCTCTGCATAGTACAAAGTGAGCAGGATGATATAAGTTCGAATGCACGACCCTATCACCAGCAGCCGGATACACCCACCATACACTCCTCCTTTATTGTCCATACCTGTTCTTTTTTATGGCTGCGAATTAGACAAGAAGTGCTGGGCTACACCCACCATACACTCCTCCTTTATTGTCCACGCCTGTTCTTTCTATGGCTGCGAATTAGACAAGTAGTGCTGGGCTACTCTAATCCTCCCCCCACACACACACCGCCTGCTTGTGTGCTCTCAGGGCTTGCACACCATGATCAGGAATAGGGACTGTCCGCGAGACGAACTGATCTTCTATTCGCAAAGGCTCATGCGCTTAATAATGGAGTACTCCTGGAGGTTAGGGCTATTTTCTCGTTGGATACGTATTTCTCCATCTGTGTAGAATTTTTGTGAACGAACAAGTGAGGTGCGGGTTGACTGTCATCTGCATTGCGTTGCATTGGGGAGTCCAGTACAGTGGCGGTGCATCCTCACGGACTTGGTACACTGTATGCTGTATTGCAAGTGTGGTCTATTAATGAATGGTACACTGTACGCTGTATTGCAAGTGTGGTCTATTAATGAATGGTACACTGTACGCTGTATTGCAAGTGTGGTCTATTAATGAATGGTACACTGTACGCTGTATTGCAAGTGTGGTTTATTAATGAATGGTGCACTGTACGCTGTATTGCAAGTGTGGTCTATTAATGAATGGTATACTGTACGCCGTTTTGCAAGTGTGGTCTATTAATGAATGGCACACTGTACGCTGTATTGCAAGTGTGGTTTAATGAATGGTACACTGTACGCTGTTTTGCAAGTGTGGTTTATTAATGAATGGTACACTGTACGCTGTATTGCAAGTGTGGTCACCTACTGTCTCTCATTTCTTATGTGCTGTCAGTGGTTGACTCTCTCTGTGACTGTTCACCTACTGTCTCTCATTACTCCTGTGCATCCAGCTTCCTCCCCTTTAAGCCGAAAACTGTCACAACCCCAAGGAACATCGAATTCGAGGGGAAAGCCTTGGATGCTGAGGTATGTATACTCGCCTATCAAGGACATTAAGAGAGAACAGACAAACACAGATATATATATATATAAAGATATATATATATATATATATATATTTATTTATTTATATGTGTGTATGTATGTGCGTGTGTTTATTGTGTGTTTATTATATATATATATATATATATATATAATGTATATATGTTTATGTACAAGTATATTTATATATATATAATGTATATATATATATATATTAGTTATGAGTTATTAACCCGTATTCAAGTAGCACATGGTTATGTATCTGTTTGGTTATGCAAATTGTTCCTCAAACTCCATGTATGCAGCATTAGCCTGTTGAACACCTAATCTCTCCCACTTGATCAGGTAGTAAAGTGCATAACCCCACCTACATCTGCTTATACGATGACTTGTTGACATCCGTTTCCCATACTACTCTGCTTGTCCTTCATATACGCTCAGGTCTGTGCCGTGTCGATAGTGCGCGCGGGTGTGACGATGGAGTCGACGTTGCGTGAAATTGCCAAAGAAATCCCCATTGGCAAAATACTGATTCAGACTGATGAACAAAGTGGCGAGCCTGCCGTAAGTTTGGTGTCTGTGGCTTAGACAACACGCATGTTCTGTTTGTATTTGCGTACTAATAAACGTACTCGCCGTGAGGGCAACGGTGACTCCATAGGTATCCCTGCACGGTTGGTGTTTGCGTACTTTTTATACGTTTTTGGGTTTTAGTTTGCACGATGGTGCCCACTGTTTATATACCACCCAACGCACTTGCTGGTTCATTCACTGTCCGTCTCTCTTTGCCAATCTTTAGTGTAGCGTCTTCTAGGAACGTCTCCGAAATCCCGTCGTATGTCTGTGTGCATGCCATGCTTGCATGTTTGTTTTCCCATTGATGCGTGGGATTCATCCTGTCATTCTTAGGTTTACGCTAAACACTTGTATGTGTGTGCTGCATGTTTGCCTGTGGTTCGCTCACATTCGCCTCTCCTCTGCCGTCCTATCATCACAGCTGCATTACTACTCTCTTCCGCAACACATCGGCAAGTACCATGTCATATTACTGGACTCGACGATAGCCACGGGTGCCGCGGCTTTGGTATATAGTCCACCTGTACGAGTGGGCATGGCGGATAATACCGACATTGTGCTGTACATGTGGCGTATATAAACCCTAAACCCTATAAAGTATATATCTCTATCTCTATCTATACATGAACCCGCTCAGATATAGGTCGACGGAGTGCCGTTTGTATCCTAGAAACAAGACGTGTAAGACATGTTTTGATTTCCTCCTACACACGTAGTAACCAATGCACTGTGTTTTTTGAAATACCGCAGATGGCTATATGAGTGCTCCTGGATCACGACGTTAAAGAAGAACACATTATATTCCCATTTCTCATAGTAGTCAACACACTATCTTTTATAACACCTCAGATGGCTATACGAGTGCTCCTGGATCATGACGTTAAAGAAGATCACATTATATTCCCATCACTCATAGTAACCAACACACTATCGTTTATAGCACCTCATATGGCTATACGAGTGCTCCTGATCATGACGTTCAAAGAAGAACACATTTTATTCCCATCACTCATAGTAACCAGCACACTATCTTTTATAACACCTCAGATGGCTATACGAGTGCACCTGGATCACGACATTAAAGAAGAACACATTATATTCCCATCACTTATAGTAACCAACACACTATCTATTGTAATACCTCAGATGGCCATACGAGTGCTCCTGGATCACGACGTTAAAGAAGAACACATTATATTTCTGTCGCTCATCGCTGCGACTCCAGGTATGTTGACATACAGCCGACCCTTGAGTTATGGTGTACGGAAGGTGGTTTCAGCAGACATTTGGAGAGTGGACTATCATTGCCCATATGATGAGTATGGTTTTAGCAGACATTTGGAGAGTGGACTATCATTGCCCATATGATGTGTATGGTTTTAAAAGACATTCGGAAAGTGGACTATCATTGCCCATATGATGTGTATGATTTTAGCATACATTTGGAGAGTGAACTATCAATGTCTATACTATGCGTATGCTCTCAGTAACTCTTTAAGCATGTTGCTTTCAACCCTAGTACTCATTCTGCATAACCTGTCTAAGCACGCGAATAACACCGTATTGTTGGCTGAATGGTATTCTGCCCGCTGTGTTCTGCCTTGCATATGACATTGTGTATGCCATTGTATATGATATTGTATATGACATTGTGAATGACACGGTATACGACACTGCGTATATCTTCTTAACTGAATAAATGTATCGGGTTTCTGTTCAAGAATGTCCCTTGCATTGACCCGCACAACATTATGAAATCAGTATAGGCAACGACAGCCCCGCTTTTCTATATCCTTCGAGGGAGCACTCCAGCTCTATCTCCAGATCCGGATTCAATGTCGTTTCCGTTTACGTTTGCCATCCTCTGCACTTTGCGCATCCACTCGGAGACCGTGTTTGCAGTACTCGTGATCTCTCGCTCGGTCCTTATCCGTTCAGAGCGATATAAACGTTTTGAGAGCTTCACTATAGTGCATACAAGCGCCTTGTGCCTGCTCTATCGAAGCTTAACGAATCGTACGACGAGGGCTGATGTGCGTCTAACCGTGACTAGTATTTACATGACATTTAACGGAATCGTTGGTGTTCGTCTACCCGTGACTAACCTCTACATGACATTTAACGGAATCGTTGGTGGGATAGGTATCCATGCTGTGGCCTACGCCTTCCCGAAGGTTAAAATCATCACATCAGAAGTCGACGAAACGGTCGACGAAAACTTCTTCATCTCCCCCGGAATCGGTGAGTGGCTGTTAACGTGCACTCCTGTGTCTACTGCTGATGTTGCACACCTTGATGATGCGTGATTGTGTCTGGTACAAAGTAAAGTGACTGTTAACGTACACTCCTTTGTCTATTGCTGATATGTGAGGTGGAGTGATTGATGTAATACACCTATCACATGCTCACAATAGAGCATACAGGATATGTCTTATCCGGTACATATCAGCCCTTTTCGTTGAATTTGTGATTCCTTTATAGTCTGACCATGTCTAGTCTATGTCTCTATCCGGTTTCACAGGCAATTTTGGCGACCTATACTTTGGTACAAACTAGTGGACAGTATGGACCAAGCCTACAGGAACCAAGCCAGCCCATTGGTGCATACCACTTTTGGCGCCAACCCAGGTCAAGAGGCGTGGCATGGCCTGTGATTGGCGAATGTCAGTTGCGGTGATACAACGGTGTTTAGTTGTAGACATCATATTTGTATTAAAGCAAAGTAGAACCATGTATAGACAACCCACTATATAGTAATATTATCATCGGGACTTTTTATCCAATTTATATATACATATGTATATATATATATATATATATGTGCGTGTGTGTGTGTGTATGTATATATTTATATACATATATATATATATATATATTATGTATGTATTTTATTAGGCATCATAGATAGATGTATGACAAATATTAAGACGAAGATTTTAGCATGCATGCAGAAATACCCAGGTGTACAATAAAATTAAACGGCTTCAAATCAGTACTATTGAACCTATCACTGAAGTCAGGGACAATACTTCCAAAAGTATCAAGCTGCGAATCACATTTGTCTAATACATACAAGCGCATTCTATGATTGTATTACATATAATGTGCTGCACACTAGAGAACAATTGTTATTATAGTTTTGTGTGTTTGAAAAAACCCTACAATCTTGTAGATATCATACCGTCCTCTACCTTTTTTATTGCTGAAATGTAAGTATAGAAGCAAGGGTGTTGCTTCACGCCTGTTGATGTCCATATGCAGACACCCAATATAAATATAGTTTCGCACACTAATTTGCTGGTAGCTTTTGCACTTCGTTGAGATCTGTATATTATTATGTTAATGTACCCGTCCAATTGATTGAGTGATCTAATAGAGGGTCTTGACAATCGGAATACGCAGTTTCCAATGATACGTTTTTGTGTAAAAAGAATACTCAGATCAATAGTTGATTTCAACTCGAACATAAAATTTAGTTTGCGTATTATTTTTTTTCCCACATTTATTCCCTTGCTGTCTGCTGCTAAGACAGCGTGTGCACGTACAATTGTATTTTTAACTGAACTGCACACCAACTCCAATCCTATGCTTGTTATTACCCTCACATGTATTTGAAAGTCATTAAGCTATCTATACCTAGTAGTATGACTCTTTCTTCACCTCCACCTCACCGTAGCCGTCCTTCTCACCGTAGCCGTCCTTCTCACCGTAGCCGTCCTTCTCACCGTAGCCGTCCTTCTTCACCTCACCGTACCCGTCCTTCGTCACCTCATTCTTAGAGTAGCCATCTTTGCCTCCCTGAGGGGTGACAATAACCTCTGTTATGAAGGTTGTCTCTTCGACATATGTGGTGACGGGGATTGTCTTGTAAACAGGCACCTCCTTGGTGGTGGTCACAGTCTCGTATTTCTTCTTCTGCACAGTTTCAGTGTCAGTGACAATTTCGGTGGAATATTCCTTCGCGGTTTCGGTTACAATATCAGTCGAGTAGTGTACCTTGGTCTTGTCGATGGTCTGATACTCCACGCTTGTCTCGTGTTCGGTATCGTATTCGGTGACTGTGGCGGTTTCAGTCACATATTCGACATCAGTATACAACACGGTTTCGGTGTTGGTTTCATACTCCTTCAAGTACTCCACGACGGTGTCTGTCTCGTACTTCGTTTCGTACAACGTCTCTGTCTCAGTTTCGTACGCGATTTCAGTTGCGAGGGTAGTGATGGTTGCCTTATCTGTGGACGTCACCACATCGGTGAGGTGCTCAGTCACCTTCTTAGTTTGGAACTTGGTTTCGTATTCCTGCTCAGTTTCAGTCTTCGTAACATACTTCTTCTCGGTCTCAAACTTGGTGACAACATCGGTCTCAAACTTGGTGACAACATCGGTCTCGGTCTCGTACTTGGTCTGGGTCTCGTACTTGGTCTGGGTCTCATACTCGGGGATCTCCTGCACAACAACTCCTCCTCCGTATCCCTTGTCTCCTCCTCCGTATCCCTTGTCTCCTCCTCCGTATCCCTTGTCTCCTCCTCCGTATCCCACCTCCTCTACGGTTACTTCTTTCTCACAGCACTCTTCGGCGCATGAGCCTTCTCCCTCCTCAATGTGGTAAGAACACTTCTTGCTGGCGTTGCTGGAATCGTAGGTGTACTTTTTGGGGCATCCGTAGGAATCATGGCCCTCCCATGATTTGCAGTTGGTGGTACTGTACGAACGGGCAGCAACAAGGCTGAGCGCCTGAGCAGCAACAAGGGCGACAGCCGCAAACTTCATGGTATTAGTATTGTTGAAATGTGGTTCGCACTTAATAAAGTGATTGGAAAGGTGCAAACTCTTCCTATCTTATATTCATTTTAACATCATTTCTAAGAAATTATAAAAAACACTCAATACAATGCACTCACGCGCCAAACGGCGGGGGAGGCGTGGATGCTCTCGAGACAAGACAGTCTATGTAATAGTTTTTTTGTTGTTTCTTTCGACGGCTTCTCAGCGGCTCGTGAATAACTCACCTGCTGACTGTTGAGAGTTCTATCTTCGCCCCATTGTTCCCAATGTCCCACATTGTCGTGCTTCTCATGGTGATTCGTGCTACTCGTGCCGGCGTGCCCGTGGTGAATGGTGACTACACAATGCCAAAAATAAATCCGTGAAAATGTTTTTCAAGGTTCGCGTCCCCATGCAGTCATAACATAAATCTTTTTCTCTCTCTGTCGTCCAGTGATACAGTGGTAAGAGGTGTGGTTTATCAAGAATCTAGATAACTGGCAGCCTGCCATTTCTGATTTCTCTAAATAAAACAATTCGTCAAAGTCATATGTATTTACTCATTTACTGAGTGTCTAATTTAGAAGGAAAATAGAAGGCTGAGCGGAGCATAGCCTACTAAAATTAGACAAAACCCCTACACACAATCACTATTAAAAAAATGTTTGGCTTTAATGGCTTGTCCAATTTGAAATAGACACATGTGACATGTGAAGCTTTCATAAATGAAACATAGAAGAAGGCTATAAATGACTCTGAGCATAGCCTTCTTGTCTAATTTAGAAGGCTAAAGTATGCACGGAGTCAAAATATTTACACTCCCCTACAAAAAAAAATACAAAATTAGAAATCTATGCAGATATTTGTTGGATTTTAGAAGGCTGTGAAATACTGTCTACTCTGGCCTGGTAAACGATAACGACTTGTCTTTTAAAAAAAATAAAGCAATAATAACAGAGAAAAAAACTAGTTTCAGACCCGGCGCGATGCATAGCCTTCTAAATGAAATATTTGAAGGTTATGCGCGATGTGTCGTCTTTAGGACAATATCTGAAGATCTATTTATCGGAGTTCTGACTGTAATAATGACATTTCGTCCAGAAGTGTCGGGCAGCCGGGGTAGCAATCTAAATAGTTCCCGACGGTTTTAAAACATATCGTCAGAACGGAATTTGCAGTCGTATACCAGTAACTCTAGTCTAGAATATAAGGATATTATGCAAATCCTGCACTGATCGCAATGAATAGTGATGGCTCAAATTGATAACTGGAGTACTCGTTCGCTTTTATCAGCACTTATTGCCCATTGCTTTATTTTTTTGCTTTCGAAGCTTTAGCAATAAAATGAGTTTAGTTGTGTAACGCATGCGGACGGACAGCTCCAAAGGCAAAATTCATAGTATGGTGCAGTTGCTTTTGAAAGGAGACCGATGATTGTTACAGGAAATCTGTCAAATCACCCCTACTTCAGCCAGACACAGCACACACAATAGTGACCCGATTCAGACATTTAATAGCCGGAAATGCTCACAAAGATATGATTGAGAAAATGACCCGGACACATTTTTGGATTTGTACTTAGTTCATAATCTAGTTTTGACAATTTTGAAAATTTGGCTGCTTGTTGTGGCACCCACCTTGCAGTACGAATTTTGGACTTTTGAAGGCATAAATCGACATGCCCGCCCATTTCTAAGACTCATGCTGTCATCAGATTTTCGAAACCATCTTGTGGAAAAGTGTAAATAAGTGTGTGAAATATACATATGATAAACACAAATTACACCTCGTTGTCGCTTATATACACATCTAGTCAGTGCAAACCACGTAACCATGCCGCCCCCACCAAAGAGAGCGAAATATGTGATTGGCGGCAGGGGTGAAAGGCACTCTCTACGGTATATGGACTGTTACGACAAGGGTTTGACTTTACAGTTGACAGAATTCGTCAAGAAGAATTATATTTCTCACCGTCGGGTACCCGAGAATGTGTACGATATAGTTACAGCTGAGATATCTAGTAAAAGCTAACTTATATTAATTCAAGAAGACTATAATAAACACCAGCTTGTTTACAAGCGTATTGAGCATATGTTTCGTATGCAATTACACACACTTTTAGAGTCTAAGACACAGCCCCAGATGGCCGCGGAGGCCTAGAATGACCGCTGAGGCCACAACAATGGCCGGAATCGGTCCCAGAAAATGGACGAAAATGAAATGACGGTTTCGCTCCTACACGCAATTCCAAATCTCGTGACGAAAGCCGATTTAAGATTTTGGATTAAAGATTTAGAAAATGAAGTTTCAAATTTTATCATCTTTTATTTATAAAAAATATTAAAAAGCGACTGCACCATAGATCTGTATGTAGAACCCAAATAAAGTTCTAAATCTGAATGAATGCTTTATTTGGTTGATGTGATGATCTCATGTCAAACTTATTTTTACTTTATTTTTAAATTATGTAAGTCTATACTCTATGCTAAGTGTGAACAACTAAACATCCGTTCAGAGTTCAGACCATGGAGGCACGGATAAGTAATCAAATGTTTACTCACTTACTGTTCAGGGTATAGGTTCATATAGAGCTACAAGATCTGACTGTCCATCGCACTATCCAATAAATACATTACACTATGTCCACCTGGAGTATGATGAGCCAATAAAGTAAATTGGAATGGTAACGTAAACATTCCAGGCTTGTAAAAGCTTATTTTTTAAATTTGGCCGTAGTGACGTTATAAATTTTATCCTTTTTTTTTTAAACAAATGACTATGAGCCTATGAGTCCCGCTCAGAGTCTCAGACCTCAGTACTACAGTAAATATGTGAGTATGAGTGTATGAGGCTACTGGGATGTATTTACCACTGATTGACGACAAATTTTGATATTATTTTTAAACAACAATAAAAAACAATGGATGAACAGCAGTGATTTGGGCATTGTCCAATATTGGCGGCAGCAACTGTTCTGGAGGCGACCTGTGTTTCAAAAAAGGGACACAAAAAGCAATTCAAACATACTTGTATTTTTATTTTAAATATTTTGAATATCCACTTGTCTGTATTTCAATTTAGTATTAAAAATAAAATTCAAGTATGTGACACAGCGACAGCGTGCATTGATGAGTGATGACGCAAATGCGCTAGACGTATCACGTAGGCCATAGCTTCTTGTTCCTTTTTCAGAAGGCTATGCGTTATTTCACTTATTTGCGTACACCAATTAATTTTATATATAATTTTGCACAAGTTAAAATCTACCATAGCCGTTATTTCAGTTGGCTATGATTCCTCTGAATCTGCAGAAGAATGCGATGACGTATTGTACGGGTCACTCACAAGTCACAACTCACATCTCGCAACGCGCCAAAATGGTGATGATTGTGGGGGGTCTGGTACTAGTAGAGATCAAAGCTAACTTCCTCTCACTTTTTACTAGTCTCTATTTACTAAGAGTAGAGAGAACTGGCACTAAGTATGCACTGTCTTGAACCACGTCCGCACAGTACACGGACATACATATAGACTGCTTGTAGAGCATGTCTGCTGGTTAGAGACTGCTAGCACTAGATGGAGAATCATCTCGCTAATACGTAGACCTAATATCTTCACCTAGCATAGCTTAAGCACGATGATTTTTACATATATCCGCCCGTTTTTGGTGCTGCTTGTATGCGCATTCGCACCACACCGTGAACGAAACAAATACAATAGATGCGAGTACACAAGGAGCAAGTAGCATTCAACCCATTGCCAATGCCACTACCTTTCGAGGAGAATATCCCGCACCAGAAGACAACAGAGAAAATTGGAAACCAGCACGAGGTTTGTTTACGAGGCCAGTTATTCGATGTATCGGTAGTATAGGGTGACTGTGATTTATTCAGTTTTTAATTTCCAATTATGTTTGCGTATCTCGCTTTGGGTTGAAACAGTTTTAAGAATTTTGGCTATAGGACACTGAAGGTTTCGCATTCAGAACTGCACAAGACAAGATGCTCAAACTAATTACACTACTATTAATTTGTATTGACGCCTGCTATTGTCCGATGGCGTAATTGTTTTTTTTAGCGTTGGTGTTGTAATTATTACGTTATTGACCTGGGAGGAAAATTGTGTCTCTTTGATATTTGTGAAGGAATCATCTATCATATTCAAAGTTATGGGCATATATATATATACAAATATATATATATATATTATGTCTATGTCTATGTATATATATAT